TATTTTATTTATTTATTTGAGAGAGAGCAAGAGAGCACAAGAGAGCAGGGTGAGGGGAAGAGGGAGAAGCAGACTCCCCGCTGAGCAGGGATCCAGACTTGGGGCTTGATCCCAGGACCCTGGAGTCATGACCTGAGCTGAAGGCAGACACTTAAATGACTGAGCCACCCAGGCACCCTCAAAATCACATTATTTCCCAGCAGTTCAGTTTCCTCACTTATGGTTAGAGTGATGATCGGGTGAGGTAACACACAAAAAATTGTATACAAATATACATAAATAATATATAAAAATTCTATATACAGTCTAGTACTTCTCAAAATGTTGATGTTCTTCATTCTTTCCATCAACATGAGGTTCTGCCAATAGGTAACACAGAAAAGACAAGCCTCACAAATATTCAGCATCTAAGGAACAAAAAAACCCAAAATTATTAATTCCATACTGCAATCAATAAACATCTAAGGGCTGTAGTAGTATATTTGGTAATATGACTACATGGTGAATGGTGTCATATATGTGTATGCACATGCATTTTTGTATGTTGAGCAGAATAACAAATAGGGCAATCAGCGGTTCTTTGTATCACTGGCTGGAACATGAAAAGTTGTGTGGTTTTTTTGTTTTTTTAACATGTATTCTCACTTTATTAAATCTTACTATCAGCCCCTATAGCTACCACAAAGGCAGCAAATCCATATTTGAATTGTTTTAATCATGCACCAAAGGAAACACTGTTCGCAAAACCACCGATGCATCTCCAAGCTTCATGGCAGCCCCATGGATCCCTTAGGCCTCGGGCAGCCAACTTCTCCTGGACAGATTTCTAATGGTTTTCCTTTTATCTTCCACTGTTTATAATCTGGAAGTTCAGGTTTAATATAACCATGTTCACATCCATGTCCATGGGCCATGTCTAATAGCAATCTGACCTCTCAAGATGCTCAGTATTCAACCCTCCAGCCAGAGCCAAATGGAAATGGTGGAATGTGAAAAGTTTATGGGATATCCAAGAACTATGGGACACAATCTGTCTCTTACAGTCAATATGTTCCTTTTTTTTTTTTTAAAGATTTTATTTATTTGAGAGAGAGAGTGAGAGAGAGAAAGAGCACAAGAGGGGGGAGTGGGAGAGGGAGAAGCAGACTTCCTGCTGAGCAGGGAGCCTGATGCGGGACTCGATCCCAGGACCCCGGGACCATGACCTGAGGGGAAGGCAGAGGCTTAATGACTGAGCCACCCAGGTGCTCCCCCTGGATAAAGCTTTTAATAAAACAAAACTATTCTGAATTATATTATGTACAAAAGGAACCCTGTCCTCACCTATGAACTCTATCCCACCCCTGAGGCCTTAATATTGACAACCAAAAAGCCCTATTTTGTGGGTGCCTGGGTGGCTCAGTCCGTTAAGCATCTGACTCTTGATTTCCACTCAGGTCATGATTTCAGGGTTGTGAGATCGAGCCCCACATCAGGCTCTGCCCTGGGAGTCGAACCTGCTTAAGATTTTCTCTCTCCCTCTTCCTCTGCCCCTTCCTCCCGCACTCTCTCTCTCTCTAAAACAAACAAACAAAGAGCCCTATTTTGTTTTACTCTTCTGTGATTTTTTAAAAAACTGATTTTTGCCAACCGTATTCAACTACCGTGGTATAGAGCATTTTGAGACTCATTTTGAGATTTTGCCAGGAATGTGGAAGGACAGCAGGACAAGACAACCAAGGTAAAACGGCGATCCAGGTTCTTAACTACATAATCCAGACTGTAAAGAACTGAATGAGAACAGCTGAGTACTACTAGGTCAGAAGTAAATTGAGGTATCAAATCACAAGTTCCCTATGAGGTTGCATTGAAGCTGGGGAAGGGCAGTATGAAACAGCTAGAAGAACAGAAAAAGAATTAGAGAAAGGGGTTTGCAGTTTGAGATTTCCGGTGTGAAATACCCCATATAACAGGGTCAGATGTTGGCCATAAGTGGGTGAAGGTCAGTGAGTTTCAAGAAAGTTCAGAAACTATAAGGTTTAGGAGTTAGATGGTTCATCCACATGAAAGGTGAAAATCACACAATTGTCAAAATCTGATGAGATCTGGGTAGAGATCAGAGCAGTGGTAGATAAGGATCTATACTTTATTGATGACTTTCCACACTCCCACTCAGGCTCCAACTTCCTGTCTCTTGTCCTTATGTCGATTGGTGTCATCTTCTTGCCTTCACTTCCTTCCTTATCCATGGCTCACGTGTCTGTTCCCTTTGGCAAAAAACCTAAATAACCCTGCTTCTTTCAGTCACACCTACCAGACAAAAACCACCCCTCCAGGAGCATGATCAGGTTTGTAGAGAAAAGTCAAAAGGGGCTGGTTAGAGATATACTGACAGATTGCAGGACGCACCAAACCCATTAGATTCTACATTCTCTGGACATTTCCACAAAGGCTAGTCATTTCTTCATTGTTTTTTCTTAAATAAAGTCAATGAATGTACGTTATATATAAAAACTTCAAATCCAGAGTAGGGTAAAAATAGAATGTTTAGAAACTCCTTTACACTCCCCTCATCCAGTTTTACTCCATAGAATTAACAATTGTTCATATTTTCTTGTTTATCCTTCCAAAACTCCTCTATACATGAGAATGGTGTCATACAAAATATTTCACAAGACAGTCCATGTATTTAACATATATCAAAATATGTTAGGGACGCCTGGGTGGCTCAGTCAGTTAAGCATCTGCCTTTGGCTCAGGTCATGATCTCAGGGTCCTAGGATTGAGCCCCACATCGGGCTCCCTGCTCCGCGGGGAGTCTGCTTCTCCCTCTCCCTCTGTCTGCCACTCCCCCTGCTTGTGCTCTCTCTCTCTTTCTGACAAATAAATAAATAAAATCTTTAAAAAATATGTTAAATCTGGAAAACAATTTCCACTGAAGAACAAGGGGATCTTCCTAAAACACATTTAAAAATTTCAAAAAGGTGAAGAAGTAAAGTTATGGAGATGGAGAAGGCACACAAGAAATTTGAAATACTCTTACATTGGAATTTTAATAGAGAGCATTAGGAGTATATAAACACTACATATAAAACACAAATTGATACAGCCTAGAATATTTCCCAGGTTATAACTGAAAGACAGCATTTGCAGCTGAAGATGCAAGCACAAATTGAGGCTTAGTGGGGCGCCTGGGTGGCTCAGTCGGTTAAACGTCTGCCTTCGGCTCAGGTCATGATCCTGGGGTCCTGGGACTGAGCCCTACCTCAGGCTCCCTGCTCAGGAGTCTGCTTCTCCTTCTTCATCTGCCCCTTCCCCTGCACATGCTCTCGCTCTCTCTCAAATAAATAAAATCTTTTTTTTTTTTTAAGATTTTATTTATTTGAGAGAGAGAGAGAATGAGAGAGAGAGCATGAGGGGGGAAGGGTCAGAGGGAGAAGCAGAGTCCCCGCCGAGCAGGGAGCCTGATGTGGGACTCGATCCCGGGACTCCAGGATCATGACCCGAGCCGAAGGCAGTCGCTTACCCAACTGAGCCACCCAGGCGCCCCTAAATAAATAAAATCTTAAAAAAATTTTTTTTAAAGATTATTTATTTATTTGACAGAGACACAGCGAGAGAGGGAACACAAGCAAGGGGAGCAGGAGAGGGAGAAGCAGGCTTACCGCGGAGCGGGGAGCCCGATGCGGGGCTCGATCCCAGGACCCTGGAATCACGACCTGAGTTGAAGGCAGATGCTTAACGATGGAGCCACCCAGGCTCCCCAGTAAATAAAATCTTAAAAAAAATTAAGGCTTAGACATTTAGGAACTGGTACTTATTGTTTTTATTATTATTATT